TACTTCGCTTAAACAAAGAATGTAACATAGAGAATGAGATGATAAGTCATCATATTGATGTATATGTTCATTTGTTAAATTAAATAACTTTTTGAAATGTCTTCCTAATTTTTAATAAATAAGTCAAGAATTCTTACAATTATTTATAAAAATTGCACAATATTCTGAAATATTTTGCAGAAAAGATGTATATTGAATAGTTGGGGTGTTTTGTGTTAATCTTAAGTTTCTCTAAATTTTACGAAATATGAATTTCTTTAATATGCAAAATTGTAGTGGATATACCTAATATATAAAATCCTCTTTTATAATCTCTAACGAAAAAATTGACTCTGAAAAACTATAGATCAAACATTTACCACACGTAAAAATCATGTATAACGCGTATTTTGTTTCTCACTTTAGCCATTTCATTCAGAGATTTGACTTAAGCAGAAGAAAAGAGTCTGAGGAATTGGTAAAAATTTGGATCACTTCAAACAACCTTTAATCATGCATTTAAAAGCAACTATTTTCGAAAACGGTACCATTATCTCTATATTCATGACACCATTTCTTTCTGCCTTTTGTGGAATCTTAGATCTTTGTGAACATTTTAGAAATAAATTTCGAAAAATGGAAAATGTTCTCAGCAAAGTAGTTTTTGCAAGATAATTTTCCAAAAGCATTATAATATCAAATGTCAAAGTACTTTGCCTTATACACTGTCGTCTATTAATAAAATTACGTTTTTGGTATTAAAAAGACATTAAAAAAATTTACAATTTTAATTCAATTAAAAAGAGTTAAGACCAATTAAAATGTAACAGTCAAAATATAAATATTTACTGCTCAGGGACTTATTAACATGGAAGAGTTAAACACGTGACTTACTGTTGTGCTTGATTACTTACACCCGCATTAGTAGCTATTAAACTTCTACGAAGTTTTTTTTATTCAAAAGCAATAAATTATATTAACTTTTAAGCAAAATTCCATTAATTACCTTTCGTTTATTTTAACATTATAATTCATTTCCTTTCTTCATTTTTTTCTTTTCGTTATCAAATCCTTGCATAAATTTTGGGTTACCAATGATTTCGAAATTTATTTATTCAGATTGTCACTTTGTTTAATTGGTTCCTTATGCTCACGATTTTCACACAAATTGTGCGTTACGCAAATGTCGAATATTATAGATTTCACTTCTACATGTAGTCCCTTTTATTTTATAAACACACGTACACTAATTATGTCACAACAAAAGAATAATATTGTTCGCCATTCACAAAATTTTACTATTCCGTTCTATAGTACACACTCACATTAAAATGTATCATTATTTACTCATTTGCTGAACTGAGGGAGTTAAATAAAGAAAGAACGATAATAGAAAATGGCGAAGTATTTAACGGAAAGTAGTTTCGTGCAATTTTTCTTATTTTTCAATATTTCTAACATTTCGCAGATTATCGATTTCGAACGGAAAACATATGCAATTTGGTTTTTAACAAATTGATGATCGAAATGTGATTGAAAATTAGCAACGAACATAAGAACGTTCGCAATTGTGCACGTTTTTATGCACGATCCAACGATATTCCTCTAGAAAAGTTCAAGAACTGAATCGAAATTCTTAATCAAAAGCAAACGGTGCAGTTGGAAGTGGTACAAGAACAATTGTATTTCCTGCGATAGAATGATTTTATCCACGTGTTATAAGATCATCAAATTAAAAAAACTACTACTCCTGATGTATGTGTCGTAAAGTAGATCGAGACGCTGCCGCGCGAAAAGTGAAGCCAGAAAGCAAGGAATCTTGCACGTATGCTCGGGGTTCCCACTTCTAGAAAAGTTCTTATTAGAGAAACCCTTTGCAATTGGCCGACTAGAACGCAGTCGTTTGGCGCAGCTCAGGGATAGAATGTTTAACAGTAAGTCAAGTAGGGAAAAGGACAATAAATTTGTTTTCTTCGACATTACTTAGGCGAGCTCTTTTTCGTTCTTAGAAACGCATTCTATCCTTATTCGTCGTGAACTGAAACATGGTTGTAACTTAACGTACGTGGTAGATATAGATTGGTTTTTATCCTCTTCTCTCCCCTCTCTATTATTTTTTCTTTTTCTGCACAACAATGTATGGGAAGGGACGATTTGCGAAGGGAAAATTTCAGAATAATGTACGCTTCGGAGAGGAATATTTTATAATGATTTTTATAGCATTATACTTTGGAATAAGGAAATATATTTTTACAACGATGCATTTGTTTGAAGTTTCATTTGGTATTACGATTTGCTTCACTTTATATTCTTAACTAATCACTGTCGATTGTTATTGACCATCAATCGATAATGATTGATTATTTAATTACCATCTGTTGCTCTCACCGGAAGATTATTTCGCAAATTGAAAACTTCAAATGTAACTTTGCATGCGTAACGAAGTAAGCATAACATGTTTAAAAATAATAAATGTATTATTGATCGTTTACGGTAATAGATGCGTATTAAAAAATTTGTAATTTATTTATCATAGAAATAGAAACAACTATTATAGGAACTAAACATTGCTACGAGTATTTATACAATTGTCGTATCTTTGAAAATCGCTTGTTTACCAGTGATTGTGAAACCGGTCTAAATCAGAAATCTAGAAAGAATTGAATTCATCAGTTATACTTTGTGCTGCATCGATCTTTTCATAGAAAAGAGTTCTATTACAAGAGCAAGTATTTTGTGAAGTATTTTTTAATACACCCAAAGGGAAAATTTTAAATATCTCCAAATGAAAAATATACGACTTAGACCATTTTCGTGGAGCATCTATTGTTGCTATTGTATTCCCTAAATCTGTTAAACTAAACTAGCGCACCTGCAGTGTGAGCTTCTGAAGGAAAGAATGTGCTTTTTTTTATTGTAAATTTTCAAGATTTACTACATATTTATACAGTGAATAGTAGCATCTCAATACGCAACTCAAGTTAAATTCAACTGGTGCGTATAATATGACCATTGTGTGTATGTGATATTGATCGACATTTTTATTCTTCAAACACTGTTTAATACTGAAATACAGAAGTTCCCCCTGCGAGATTTATTTGTCAAATAATTAATCCGTTGTACATTTACCATGAAAATCGATTATAAAGAATAATTATTACTTGTTGCATCAAATGTGACAGCGTTTAGTTTAAAAATTTTTCCTTTAAGAAGTACTTATTAAAAGATTAATTTTTTCAGCAACTAGAGCTAAGAATAAACTCTCTAGCAGTAGTAATAGAGTTAATTTAAAAAGCAACAGTAAAAGATATATTTTTTGTAGAAGTTGTATTTAATATTTCGTTAAATATAAAGAAATTAACTTGTACATTACTGTAATGGTTTCTTATATCTGTTTTATATTTATAGCAAATTTAGATGTATTGTGCAAAATATTTTGCAGTGTACCGAAAAACGTTAACCGTGTTTCTTTTTATTCGATTACTTTAAAATACTACAAAGCTTTTGAGAATAATTCAACTATAATATTCTACTTGCATTAGGTCATCCCACTGTATAAAAATATTTTAATGAAAATCCAAGGAAATTCTACAGCAACGACATAATAAGAAATAATAGTCTTACTAAAAATAAAAAAAATAAGAAAAATTGAGGAACAAGAAGGCACTTACGTAATTTTTTCTTTATTAAATTTAAAGGTTCGTTGTAAATATTGATCTAAATTATAAAATTCGGCACGAACTTATGCGATGACCTGATATTTTATATTCGTACACATTTGGAAATATATTTGATATTCAATTCTTTTCGAATGTTCTGTGACATATGGATTGTATATTTTGCCTGCAACATGAACATTTAGCAACCGACATGTTGCCATATGTGCACTTTCCCACCTGAAGAAAGTCGAAGGGAAACCCGGCGGCGAACGCATACACGAACAAAAGGGTTGAATCACCCGGTCGCTATTTCGACCGGTTCATCTTTTTCACTTGTAGAATAAAATAAAACATTTCTAACAATGTGTTCTAAAAGTGTGCCGGTAATTATGGAAGTGACCTAAGTCGTATATTTTTGATTTCGAGATATTTAGAATGTTCCCTTTCGGTGTGTTAAATAATATTTTGTCATTATGTAATAAAATATTTCACAAAATACTCGTGCCTGTGATATAACTCTTCTTCTGTGAGAAGATCGACGCAACACAGAATAAGTGACAAATTCAATATTTTTGAAATTTTTGATTTAGACCACTTTTGTAATCACCGGAACAAATGTGTCCGATATATTTCAACGAAACGAAGTACGTTGAAGGGATAATAATAATTACTGAAAATTTTTTAACTTTAATACACTATTATTATTGTAACGATGAATATAAAATATTCATGGTAAATCAACAAATGCATAATAATTTTAAATTGAAAATTCTGATATTACGAGGTTGTCCCTGCTAATGTTATCTCTACTAATCAATTATTTAAAAATTTATCAATTAGTTATATCTTAATATAAAGACTTTCTTGGATTTAAAATTATATTAACTGTTATTCGCAACTTTCTTTTGTGGAAATATTTTTTTTAGATTGTTAATAATATCGAAAATATCTTGACGAAAAAACATGTTTTTGTCGCACGATTGAAATGCGTTGTCGGATTAGTATCGAACAAACAAACGAAGCAATCACTGGTTACCATTTACAAACAATGAATAAACCTCTGTTTCGTAGCAGTTTTCGATGTCAGTTTCGACGAGTCAACTTATCCCTCTACTTTCATTTTATTAACGCTAAATAATAATAGAAATATTTTAAGGTGTCACTGAAATAAACTGTAAAGAATTCTGCAAGTTGATACTTTGCTTCAAGAAATAAATACGAAGAAACCTGAATGTTTTGTGGAGTGAAAGAAATAACTTATTTCGATAAAAAGCTAGTCTTTAGCGGTCGGAAAGCAAACTATCGAGTCAAGAAAATACGATTTTCACGAAAAAAAGAAAATAAAACTTTTCAAAGTATAAAATGGTGTCGCAGAAGGTAGAAGAAAACACATCAAAGGTAAACACTGTTTGTGTATCATCTGGTAATGCAAGAGATCAAAGAAAATTGAAATTCAAAAGTCATGTCTGCTCGAATACATTGCAAAACTGTTGTAATCGAACTGCTGAAGGTAAATCAAGTAATTTGCAACTTTGTTGCCCATGCAACACAAAGAAGGTAATTCTAAATTTTATTCTAAACATAATTAATATTTTATGTCTTTGACCTCACTACTTTCATGTACAATTGAACTTTAAAATGAAATACCATATTGTTTATTGTAAACACCTGATGTTAATATGTAACTTTATTGTACTATTTAATAATATGAAATTAAAAGGGAGAATACCACTAATGGTACTTATACTTGATGTTTAGCTATTTACTTATGTACTTCTTGTATTTTACTATCTCTACAATTTTGTTTTATTTTGTATTTTATGTGCTCTTAATTATACGTCATGCAAGTTTATTTTAATTATTGTTAATTAAATCTTTTCTTCTATTTCTATTGATAGCATTTAAAATTATAATAATTTTCTTCATTTTCCCTATTCCTTCATATCTCCACTGACTATAAATTAATAATTAACTAGAGTATATAAATAGCAGTACAAAATGTATAATGTTACATTGAAATAATGATGTATTTAAAAATAGTGCAATAGTTCAAACAATAATATCTAAATAATATTTTTTATGCAGTAATAAATTATGTAAGAAATTGTTACGTAATAATCGTTATGTAATTGATATTAAATATTTTCACATTTTAATACTAATGTCTACTACGGTACATTAATACTTAAACAGTTACATTTATTATATTATTGAATAAAATATACGTATTCAACAATAAGAGTATTGGCAAACATTAAAAGTATCGTAATAACTTATTTAGTTAATTGAAAGGGAAGGTAAAACTAAAGGAAGGATGAGAGTAAATGCTATGAAGAAAAAGTTACCGCCTCCAAAGATTATATCGAAAGAAGAGTACGACAAATTTCGAGAAAGTGGTCCTATGACGAAAGCGGAACTAGAAGCAATTTTTAAAGCAGAGGAAAAAGAACGGGAAAGACTTGTAAAAGAAAGCATGGAGAGAAAAGAAGAATTTCGTAGAATAGACCAAGAGAGGCCTCGGGAAACATGTGCGCAATTGATTGAAATTGAAGAAGAAGCTAGAAAAAGAACAAAGTATGTCCTTGAAAGAGCAGAGAACATGAAACTTGAGCAGGAGGAAGAAATTCAAAAATGCAATAGGATCATCCTGGAAACTAAGTGCCGGGCTATACGAGATGCACAGGTAAATAATATAAAATAAAATAATAATTAATTGTCATACAAAACTGTTGTAAAATATTCGCTGTTTATCAATGTTTAAGGATATAACGACTTTTCATAACAGAGCATCTATTTTTAGTTTGGAATTATCAAAATCGAAAAATATATTCTTTTATTGATTTTGAACCATTAAAGTACATATATAATGTATTTAACTATTCACGAAACAGAATGTTTTATTTTAAATGTGTGTGTGTTTATTTTTTTATAATATTAAGCTTGTGGTTGTTAGTAGATAGCAGAAAAAAAGCTGATTGAGCACGAATTTGAAGAAGAAGAAAAACGTCTCAACGATATGATGGAAAATGAAAGAAGGTGGGCGATTAAGGAAGAAATTAAGAAGGAACAAGAAGAAATAGCAAAAAGACAAAAATGTGCCGATAGTTTAATGGAACAAATTAAAGAAAATGAGGAAAACAGGATATTACAATTCGAAAGAAAGCAAGAAGAAAGTCGCTTAATTAATTTAAGCAATATTGCTTGGCAACAAGAAGAAATCACAAAAGTACAGAACAAAGAATCTGAAAACGCACGGGTTCGGCAACAACTTGCTGAAGGAAATGAGCAGTTAAAACATTTCAAAGTTATGGAAGAACAAGAAAATAAAATCATGGACCTCAGGTATGACTTACTAAACTGTCAAACTCTTAGTCAATAATTAATAAATTAATTAACTTTATTGTACAGGATACAAGAGTACCAACGATATAAGGAGGAAAGGGAAGCAAAATTGAAGGAAGAACGAAAATTTAAAAAATTACAACAAGAGCAGGCCAAAGAGAGAATTGTATCACAAACATTGCAAACAACGGATCTTCAAGTATTCAATTATTTAATAAATAAATTTACCTTTACATTGTTTCGAATTAATTTAAAATATTTATGTTTATATGTTTGGTGCCCATATTTATACCTGTTTATTTTTTTATATGTATATAATGCAATATTGCTTTTGTTTTAATATCAATGTTTCAAAATTGTATGTACAATAACATTTACTAGTTTTAATATTTCTGTTTGAATAAAATATTATGCTTAATTTTTTGTACAATTCCTTAAATATTAGGTTATAAGTGTAGCTCGTTTCATATACT